CCTCGTAAGGTCTAGAGTAATGTAGTAGCAATATAGTATGTAGGTAGGTAAATTAGTTGTGTATAATCACAGCATGCTCTCTAAACCATTCCTTTACAGTACATAGCTGCGACGCTTTTGATCGCTCTATTGCTAGAAGGCGAAGTCAGTACAGTACAGCATCCCCATCTTTTGCTATGCAGCAACTTGTTTGACTCTAAATGGATAAGTGTGGCTTCACACGCTCCGAATCTATGCAATGATCCGGCATTCTACGGACTACTAATACCCGAGCGGCTGCTTCGTTTTTAGAGGTTAAGCAATTGATACTTCGGAATGGAACGTTTCTCCGTCAGGATCCCACATTTGCCTATCGCTGTCGCCAATGAATGACTGAGCCCGTGAGCCAGGTGGGGATCTCCCAGTTCAGGCATGCGTAAACCCATTCCATACCTACCACTTTACACAGATAGGTTTAACAGATTTGCGATTGAAGAAGGCAAGATGTATACAATTAGAGTTTGCAAGGTGTTGCGTATTCAAGGGTATGCAACATAACGGTACTTACTTCGCCTTATTAGCAATTAGAGCCCATCGAAAGCGTCGCATCTGTACTGTGGAGGAGTGTTTAAACGGCCTTGGTGCATTTTAGCGGAATAATCCAAGTGCGTGTCTTGATGTATTTATTGGACACTACGGAAAGAGTAGGAAAAGCTTTTGGCAGAAAAAAGCCAGACGTATAGAAAGAAACTCGTCAAAGTTGAACAGAAAAACTGAGTAGATTGTCCTACTAAACAACGCATTCTTTGACTGATTCCACATGTAGGCTCCTTGAGATCTTAGCTGACTGAAAGATACTAGCACATTATTGAAATACCAGTTTAGCTCCGCCCGCTACCGCGCGCCTTTGATAGAACTGACAATCGATGAAGCTTTAGGTTTCATCGCTAATTATAGCTGCTTCGTTAAATGTATTTACGGGTCCTTGCATAGCTGGCTGTATTTCCACTGTTCTGATAAGCGCCAGTGAAGTGCACGGCCTAAAGTGATGATATAAACAACCACTATGCGTCGAGTACTCGAGGTAATTCAGCGATCGAATATCTCAAAACGGAATGCCCAGTATTTCATTATCATATTTATTCGAGCATCCCATTCATCCTCAAGAACTTTAGAAGGTGTAGCGGTCGAAAGGTGTTTGAGTTTACAATTACAACGCTGATAAAGTGATATTGAAAAGAAAGGCATTTCTACAATCTCCCTCCTTTCTATTGTTGTTTTAAGTGCTCTCTAACGTTCGTACGCATATTGTTGTAATCAGTCCTCATAATCGTTTATCACTTTTTGACCTCACCAAAATATGCTTACGTCCCACCCCCTCTATCCCTGTCCAAAATCAACTCCTGGACGACTGCTGCGCAAGCGCAACATGGATTTCGTTAACTTTTTGTTAAGGCCTTTTACTGCTCTTATCAGCTCGGGTTATCAGCGTTTGACAGCTTCACCAAATATGCTTACGTCCCACCCCCTATATCCTGTCCCAAAATCACCCTCCTGACGACTGCTGCGAAAGCGCAACATGGACTTTCGTTAACTTTTTGTTAAGCGCTTTTACTGCTCTTATCAGTCGTTTATCACTTTGAGAGCGCCCACCAAAAATGTCTTCGTCTCAGCCCTATATCATATCAAAGAATCAGCTGTCCCCAACACTGCTGCTGACGCGGGCTATGAATTTCGTGACATCACGCACATCACGACCCACAAGCAGACAGACATAGCGCTTTTTAAATAGTAAGGATGCCACAACCCAAGCAGAGGTCCTGCGAACGCTTCCCTTTGGTCTGTAGTATAGGCCTTCAAAGGGCAATCACAAAGGTGGCTCTCCCATGCAAAGAAAATAATCGACAAGGACGCTCGGTTTGTCTCTCTCGCTTGGTTTCCCGAGCTGCTGAAGCTGTATTTTCTTCTCCTATCAGGCTTTTGCTAGCGCTCCCTCATCGGTACCATTCTCTCGGCTCGTGCTCTTTTCTCCGCGCATAGTCTTACTCCTTTAGCACATTCGATTTAGATGATGAGTGAGCCCTTATCCTTAACATTTCCGACGGATTCTTTTCCTTTTTATTTTACTGTCGGCCCATTCACAGCAATACATTCGCATTCGTGTGCAAGAGCTACACCATTGTGACCCTGGATGTTTTTAATGTTTATTATCATGCGGTCGATTATTTTGTTGAATTGTAATTTTCTACACAATACACTCCGTAGAAAAACCATACGACATACCCCAAATTACGTTGCTGGAGTTGCTAGAAGATAGGCGCGAGAATGACTCACACCATTCGATTCGACGTATAAAGAAACTAACACACAAGAATTTACAAGCAGTTTCATCAACTTGCGGAAAGCTTGGGTCAAAATATTGAAATAAAGGCCGTTGCAAAACTATATGACACAGCAGAAATTCGACAATTTTTTCACTCTTGTAAAATCTCTCCGTAAGACTTAACAGTCATAGCAGTGCAGTGTTGTGGATAATGTGGTCCACGGATTTACCGTATGATGATCTGAAATTAAGGAGCCGATCTAACATGTTTTCTACCAATGCTCATAAAGCTTCACCCACGAGCTAGGAGCTTCATCCGTGCGCTATTTTTGAATAGCCCTTTTTGCTGACGATGCACGGAATAGTACCGACTGCTCTAAAAATGAAGACACAATCAAGCATGCCCTATAGGTTTTCCTCCGGATTCAGAGCTGGCTAAGAAGTGGACTATTTGAGTTAATCTACATGGTGATCTTCAAAGCAAGTGGAAGTTGACTCAAAACATGGATAGCAGCATTGAACTGCTGACAATTTTGCAGATGGCGACGGTTTTGCATCATTCTTCTCGAAGAGGAGCTTGGTAATGATACTGCACAGCCTATAGCTGGTGTGGCAGGCTAGACGTTGCCCCCACGATTCAGGTAATGAAGTCAAAGAACTAGCAGGAATTGCTCATTCATCGCAAGCTACCGTGTACAACGCATTATCGTCATCATCGGGATATTTTTCAGCAATACAACGCTGTTGTCCACGTTTTTGAGTCTTCGACTTTGGAGACTTCCATATAGATTTGCTGGAATGATCCACTTCGTCAGGTCTGAATCAGGTGGAAAACCTTTTAAGCATCCCTGATCGTAGTCCTCATTCCTAGAGAAGTCGATACAATTCCGTGCATCGCCTGCAAAAAGCATTTCAAAGGTTATGCACGGGTCCTGGAGGATGCCTCCCAAACAGGTGGTGGAAAACATGTTAGATCGGCTCCTTAAGGTGAGAGCATCACACGGTAAATCCGTGGAGTATATTATCTACAACACTGCACCGTTATGACTGCTGAGTGCTACGGAGAAATTTTACTGAAATGAAAAAACTGTCGAAATTTCTGCTATGTCGTATAGTTTTGCAACGGCCATCTTTTCAACCTTTTGACAGTTTCTGGAAAATGAAAACTGCTTGTAACTTCTTTTGTGTAGGTTTCTTTATATGCTGAATGGTGTGAACCATTTTTGTGCTTATTCTCTCGCAACTCCTAGAGTCCAAAATTTGGGGTATGTCGTATAGTTTTGCAAGAGTGTACCTTGGAATTTAGGTGGAGATGGCGTTCCTTCGAGGCATGTTGAAATTTGAGCTGATTTTATTTAGCAGAAAAAAGATACTGGATCGTAGATTAAATGTTCTTGAAGCTCTTCGACTTTCACAATTTAATGGCAGGCTTTCGGCAATAATGCCATCATCAGACCAATCTTAAAATTACATACTCGCGAATTATCAACTGTTATCATACATCAATACAGATAACATGATGCATCAATACGATACGTCGACATACCAGCGACAATTGAGTATGGAATCTATGAGGGTCGGGAACGAGTGAGAAATGAGTCATCGTCCCCAATAAAAGGACTTCATTGACCATGTGAGAAGTCTCAAAAGGTCACGTGACTCTTCCTCTTTGTTGATTTCTGGCTTGAATCAATGTATTTCCCGCGCTTCCATGATCTTTCTCTCCAGCGGACGTACCAAATGTCTATGCAGAACGCTCACATTGAAAGATGGGGCGTCCCTATTCTCATGTCTCAATGTACGGTGTCTGGAGAAGCCAGTGCGAGGAAGCGGCGGGATTAGTCAACGCTCCCCTGTGCTCGTCCAGGCGACTCTTCAAAGAGCTTAACGTCTCATCCACATATTCTACTCCACATCCTCTGCACTGAACAAGATAAACCGTGCCTTGGAGCTCACAGATCTCTTCTGATGTGCAGTATCGGCAAGATTGTTCGTGGCACCGATTTTCGTAAACTCGGGATGATGTGAAGAGATCCTTCAGCGTAGGAGGAGGGCGGAAGAAAAATCGGACGGGAAGTTGGGAGTTCTTCACAACGCGGTACCTTACGCGCCCTTTTATCGTCGACAAAAGGCATCATGAGAGTTATTTCGTCTGCTGATCTATGTGGGACCCAGATCTTAAAAGATTCCGTACTACGTTCGCCTTCATACAGATTGGATGAGCACTTCTAGAATGCAACAAGATATTGGACGAGGCAGGTTTTCTGTACCATAGGTGTTCCTTGTAGCCTTCACGAATTCTCACTTGCGCATTGATAATTGGCAAGAAGCCATCCCTCCCTGGATTTTCTCTGAAGGTGATGTTTATGTCGTGTGTGTTCAGTCTTTTTAATGTTTCCACAAGATCATCTTCCGTTGTTCCGATAACAAAGACGTCATCAATATAACGTTCGTAGAACAAAATTCTACCTGTTAATGAAGACTTTTCTATGGGGTACAGGAAGATAGCTGCTAACACCGGTGCTATGCGATCACCCATGGCTGGGCCTCGTTTTTGCTTATAAAACACATCTAAGCTCGCTTAGGAGGCTGTTGTCGGCACTGGACATTGATGAAGCGCCGAAATGAATTCGTTGACACTGAAAATGTGTGCTCCCAAAAACTGCAACAGTAGCGAAAGAAGCCGAACTAGAAGCTAGCTCAGCCTATCTGCCTGACCACCACATGATGCGATAATCGGTCTCGTTTTAATTTTGCTTAATGAAAGTGACATTGTGTCTCCGTTGGTGGAATTTTGCGCCTTTTCACTAGGTTGTAGAGAGATGGCACTGTAGGTACCATCCCATGCAGTCGTTTTGCCATTTGTAAGCCCATACGATCCTTCACCCATAATGACTTTTTTCACTCTCTTGCATACTGTTTCAAACGCCGAAGAAGTACTCTCCTCGTATACTGTCGTGTCTGAAAGAACTTGTGCGGTGAGAGCCTTATACAGGGTGCGCCAAACTTACGGAGACAGCGACTTCGAGTTGCCTAGGATGAGCAAGGTGCAATTCTTTGAAAACAAAAATGCAGTGACGTGCACAATCCCATTCTGAATCATCGACACCATGCAATTTTTGAAATTTCCTTTGTTTTGTGTTTACACGGTCCTCAGAAACATCGAGGAAGCATCGACTGTGGCACGCAATGTGGCGAGTAGGACTCGTCAAGCTCATTTAAGAGCGGTTCTCTTCAGCGAATTCCTAGCCATAATGTGTTTTATGCAAGCCTCAGCTTCTAGAACGGATCCGACAGCGTACCCTATCGAGCTCAGATCTGAAATGCTGTTCTACCACCGTTAAAGCGACAAAGTCGAAAAAATCGGTTCTCATTAATCTGCACTAGTACTGAACCACCCTTGCCTCGTAGAGGGGAGGCCTACTTGATGGAAGGCGTAGCAACGATTTTCAAAGTGAATAAACTCAGGATAGCAATGGGCTCTGACAAATCAAAAAGCCCTCTGATTCCTATCTTTCGTGACATCCAGTGAAGACCAAGGCATCAACTACCTGCTGATTCTATCGCACACAATCCTTAGATTCTTCATGGTAGCCACAGAAACACGCGCTCCTCATCCAGAATGACTGCGTTCAGCTCCTTGTCCCCTGTACTACTTGGTGCATTTATTGATAGTGCTCGGGTATACACCAAAACGAATGATAATTGTCGCGTGCCGAAAACCCTCAACATCGAAATCCAATGATTTAGGGACGGTGTCAGTATCAGTCAACCGCTGCAGCTACCATAGATTTTGGTGGTTGAGCAAGTTAAGCATAAACAATACTACATCACAGTGCCAAAACTAGGACGGAAGAAAACAGCGTCTGTGAATATCAGTTCAAATTGTTTGCTCATTGTCTCCGTAATTTTGGCGCACCCTGTACAACGATTGAGGCATTATAACAAAGGAACCACATTTGTCGCCCACTGTAATCCTCAACACACTCTTCCTTTGCAGTAGTTTTCTCACTCCTCTTCGTTCAGTTGATGTTAAATTACTAGTATAGGGTTCACTCATAGCGTTGCGATTGGATGTTATGCTCGAGATTGGCTATTTTTGCGTCAATGTCACGTGTCGACAGGGGTATTTGTATGGATTCGCCTCTGAAAGGCATCGACGACATCAAAGTTCCATGGTGGTTAAGCACGGTTGGCCCACGATGTGTCCTCCAGCGTAGTTGATATGCAAATTGATGAACTCCACAGAGCGCTGCGTCCATCACTGAATTATTTACCCTTGGTGTGATTGCAAATGACTGCCCTAGATTTAGGGCTGCGGCCATATCACTATCCACTTCATTTGTTCCTATAACCACATGTCGTGTAGGGGGACAGCATTTGCTGTGAAGAACCGTGGTTACTGGATGTTCCGTGGACGTGATCTGAGTAAGTTCAGTTTTCTTTCAAACGGCGAGCTTGACCTTCACGTAGTCGGTTGCATGTTCGCTGATTTTCTGAGGACATTATCTGCCAAACATCGGAACTCAGACGAATTCGATTTCGATTGGAGGTTATTCCGCATATGAAGAATGACTTCATGCGACGGCGTTCAGCAATAGCTGCATCAAGAAGAGCAGTTTTCAGTCTCAGAATCCTTGATTGGACATCGCGATTATTTTGGTAAGGTAGCTGCGTGAATCCATTTGCAATGAACGAAGGGAATATAGTCTCACGCTTGCAGATGTACAGCAATTTCAGTGATCCATCGTTCAGAGAAAAAATATACACTAGAAAAAGTAACCCATCTAAGACTTTTGTGTTGTTGTATGTACGCTATGTACTGTACTGTAATGCACTGTACGTTTAAGCGCAGCAAACAGGTCTTTCAAATGAACGAGCTATAACGGCGCCTTGCTTATCAGAGGGGGTGAGTACGCACAGTGAGGACTTCAAGATCTCGCACGGTCATTGCGGGCCTATTCACTTCGTCTTGCGCGAACAACATGATCAATCGTCAGGTTTCGGGAGGTTTATCTCTCCAAAAATACATGTTTTCACACTGTGTACATCCTATCGCATGGAGTTATAGGCATAGCACATTCCAGTCATAGCTCTCCTAGCTCCTTTACTTACCAAGCTAGTCAAGCTGCGAATTACTCTACTGAGGCACCATTTTACCCTTGTCCTTTACCGCTACATTATCCGAAAGTTTATCAGCACTCACACATCTAACGTGTTGAGCCTCTTAGCAGACTCTGAAGAAGAAAATACTGAGCGAGGCGAGAGATGCACTTGCGAAGATCAAACACCTTCTAGTGCGTCTTGTCCACATCCAACTATTCGACATATTCAAACAAAATAAACTCATCTTTCTCAAAATAGAAAGTTTTCAGGTGAGGCTCATCGCGGCTGATATCGGTGTAAACCTTGAAAAGACTTATGCACTGCAGGATATCACTTTTTTGCCCATGTCCTTATCTTCACTCGCCGAAAAAGCGCACAAATTTTCTTGGAGTATGGTTCACGAGCAGAAGTTAAGTGAAGTGCAGAAATTTTACAGCAAGGTAAAGCACAAAATCTCTTCTCGAAAACTTGCCTAATCGATGGATAGTCATTGTATGGATCAATAGCCAGACGATTGTTCCACTTGAGCTCTTTGCTAAGTTACTATAGTTCTACGAGTTTAGCTCGTCACGTATCACGTTCACCTTTTGGTGGGCTTTAGTGAAATCGGCCAACCTCCAAGATATTAGTTTTAGTTTCGCTATAGCCTATCGCAGTGGTACACGCAGTAGCATACAAAAAGAGGCTCTTATTTACCACGACTTCGTAACACTCAGCGTTTCAATTTCAACTTATTACATCCTCGCCACATGTGTAAACTGAAACGTTCGAAAAACAAAGTAAAAAGAGGAGGAAAAGAAAATGCTGTGGTCGACGAAACAACATAAGCCAGAAAGCGAGGTCACCAGTGATGGTAGTAAACTCCCCTAAACAGCCAGTCTATAGTTGGCCAATAGATCGCGTTGACGTAGCCTTCGTCCGCACCTAAAAAGCGTTGCGAACGGCGGGAAACTTGCGCTGACCTCGCGATGGGCCGGTCTAGGCTACCCCTTAGTGGCTAATGTATAAGGTGGGACTTTGCCTAGACGGCGAACCTGGCAGAAAGGAGAAAGTGCATGGAGATTTCAGAGACGCAGACGGTCATGCAGCGGGCACTAAAATGTACCCGTGGGTAGATTTTAGTCGCCGTCTACCTGCGTCTCTTTAATCCCCATGCACTTCCTCTTTCTCTGCACGTCATGCATTGGTCGCATTGAGCGTCTGTGCGTCCCTGCAATGCGCAGAACGAAGGGAAGAAGGGGATTCGTGGAAGGTGTTGAGTGTGGGCGGCAAGAAAGCCACTGGAGCTATCAATAATATTGATAACTTTCTGCCAATAAGGTGATCAGCTGCCTCCTGCGGTGTTCCACTTATTGATCGTGTTATCGCTCCTTCCTTAGTCCAGGTAGCATTTCACCCCTCTACAATCATCTAGGCCATGATCCCACATTTCAAAAACGTCGTTGGCGCAGTGAGTTCGCTCCTTGTTGACATCGGATCGCTTGCGGAATCAATTCTTCATGATGCCCGGAGTTTTGCAACCCTCATAGGTTACTACCTTGCTTTCTACAGTTCTTTCAAAATAACCCAGCAACGCTTTGTTGTGCAGTGACAAACGTCGCTTTCATGGGCGCTGCATGACGTGGTTCCAATCCATGGCGACGCGACTTTTGCTAGGAATGCAGTGATGTTTGCCATTCATAGCGGGGTCATCTGGCTGTCTCGCCTCTCATTATTCGCCGTTCACGGCCGCAGCCGTCCCAGGCAACAAAGCATCACTCGGTGTGGTCTACTTTCTTCGAATGAGAGAAGTTCAGATTGCAAGGCTCCTTCCCATTTTCACATATTTCATGCACAAACGCAAAAATCTACACCCAATCAAAGAGTGGGGTTGCCTAAAGACAAGCTTGAATTTCTCATTCTTAACTCGAGATTGGACCAACCTATAGGAAGCTTGGTTAACCGAATCAACTCTTTTGTTAAGGATGCTACACATCATATAACGTCATTTCTTCTACCTAAAAAGGAACGGCTTTGAACGCGCGAGTAACAAAAACCATTACAGAAATGTTATGCGTAGAAGTTATTCGGAGGTATGATGGCGAAAGGGCGGAAGTGGTGCAGTGACAAGTGGCGCGCTCACCACGCGAGCGGTTCGGGGATCAAATCCTGGGTCGTGAGTCGCCCGGGCCAACCAAGCCTTCCATCCCTCCGGGGTCGGTTAATTGGTACCAGACTTGTCTGGGAGGATAAAAACACTGCCTGAACATCGGCTGGCCCCCGCAAGTCATTGTATAGGCCACATCGCATTCAAATGCCACTGCGAATGTACAAATGGAAGTAGAATGCGTGCCGCATCCCAAAACGGGATTGATCAACGGCAAATGCTTTATCCTTTTATCCTTGATGGCGAAATTTCTATCAGATAAACGTATGATGTTCGTGGAAAAGCAAATTTTAGTATTTCTTTCTGTGATGGATATCAAAAGTATTTTTGATAGGTGAAGCCAGGAGAAACATCTATTCTCTATCCATACGTGCTTGCATTTACTAACACTCTTTGATTACATAGTCATGAGAATACGAATCACAAGCGTAGAAGCATATGTAGCTCAAAGTATTATCGAGTTTTGCCAGTGAAGCGTAATATCCAATTCCGATTCTTTTGAGTTGTTGGAGGACCGAGAGGGGCTTCGCCCCCTGGTAACCTAGATGTAATACTAGTGGGGATAGCGGTGAAGACAAACGTCAGTAGTTTGACACCGAATTCTACAGATTGAAAGCGGAGCAAGACGAAGTCTGCTTTTTCCTGAGGTCGTCCACACCTCGCAGAAGAGTTACGATGTAGAGACTCTCGTACTGTCAGATTTTTCCGTACGTAGACGATATTTTGTAGACAATGGTGATGTGTGTTTCGTCAAACAAGGACTTGAGAAAAATAATAAAAAAATAAATTGAAAAATGGGATAGCTTTTCAAAACAGATCTCAGCAAGAGAACATCCCTCTCCTTTAGATAGAGAGAAAGTGTCGGGTGCATACCATGCCATTACATACCGTTACTTGGAGGCCGTCGTCAGTTGTGGTGTTTGGTCTGCACCCGACATTTCCTTGCTTTTTGAATGTAATTATGTTTGCATTTCACTCCTAATTTATGCAAGAAAAGCAAAGGTTGTTGGGATGTGAAACCATTTGGACATCCCACTATATGTATACCAGTTTAGCTCCGCACGCAATCGCGCACATCACATGGTAGGCTTTAGTGTAGCTGGACAACTTGCTAAATATTAGGTCACGTGGCTGAGAAACTAAAAGTAAGATGTTTGGAAGATGTGTCACATAAATTTCAATAGCCTCCCAATTTTGCTGAAGATTGTAGCGTAATGCGCGCAGTAGCATGCGAATGAAAATAACACTTATCATGACCTCGTAAACATTTAGCATTGATATCGAGCTCGGAGATTTAGCGGTTTATAGAATTTCCACAATTGAAGAACCGGTGTGAAAGTGAAATATAACCAACCAGTTTTCCTCCGCCCGCTATCGCGCGCACCACACGGCATTCTTTAAAGAAACTGAAAGACCCATGGAATATCAGCATGAAGTACTCCATTAGCCACCTCACTATTGAATGTGTTAGACATTTCCCAGTTTTGCTGAAGTCCATCGAGAATACGCGTGATAACGTCTGAAGCTGAACTGGCATAATTATCACACAACCATAAACATCCAGCATCCTACTACATATATATAAGCGGCTAGCGTGTGTCTGTTGGTGTGTGCGTGTGTATGTTTGAACGGAAATTCATAGCTCGAGTCACAGTAACGATAGCGCAGTGGTTCTTACATATGATATAGGTGGTGGGATGGGGACACAAGTGGTATGTGATAGGAGCTGATAACGACTGATAATAGCTGATAAGAAGAAAGAAAGTTAGAAAGCGAGCATCGCCAATTTAGTTTT